CAAGGCATGTGCTGGCTAACACGTGTCTGTCAAACTGCGATGACTGCGGGAAAGACACCAGCGAACTAGAAAACGGGAGTTATTGTACCCGTATTCAAGAAGGGAGACCACAAGGAATGCTCCAGTTATAGGCGCATAGCGTTACTGAGCCTCCCAGGTAAAGTCTACGCAAAGGTGTTAGAAAGGAGGTGCCGTGAAATAGTTGACCTCAAGATAGAAGAAGATAGAATTTCGTAATAGATGTTCGTGTTGAAAGAGGCGCAGAGCTATCAACCGATCATCACCTTGTTGCTGGCACGCTCCGCTGTAAGAAATGAAGGACCATACGAAGATCTGGTGGCAGAAGCTACAAGAGAATTAAATGGGAAACATTATCTTCTGTGAATACGAGGCACATTGCTTGAGCAGATGCCAATGACGACGGATGACGTGCGAACCGTGAGGAAGTTTTTAACAGAGGCTGCCGTCGTAATGCGGATTAAAACTGGTTGGCCTGCCGCCTGAAAGTCAAAAATGAACTTTCTGGTGGACACAAAGTGCTCAACTGCTTGTCAGCCAGAAGCCTACAATAAGAGGTTGTTTGGAAGCAAAATCCTTCAATTTGAACGCGTTACGAAGAAGAGCGCAAGACTTTGTGAAAGCAGGGGTAAAGGCGAAAGCTGATTCCTGCGAAACATTTGGTGAGGTGCAGGAGTCGAATTTCCAGACGCCAAGCAAGATATTCTGCAAACAATCCTCCGCATCTGAGGTTAGAAAAAGAGCAGTCTAAGATTCCGGACAAGTCCAGGCGCCTTCTTATTAATCAAGGGGATATGCTTTGGCGATGGCGAGTGCACTTTGAGGAATTTCTCAAAGCTGAGCAATCGCAGGAAGACTCGCCAGAAGTGCAGCACTAAAGAAATATTAATCTTTCAGCAGACAAATCCAAGGAAGCAGTAGAAGGCTTGAACAATGGCAAAGCTGCTGGGATCGACGGAATCTACCCTGAGATGCTTAGAGGTTTAGACAAACAAGACATGTCATGGTAAACGCTTGTATGTCAAACTGCAGTAGCTGCGGAAAAGACACCAGTGGAGTAATGAACCGGGGTTTTATTACCCCTGTTCAAAACGGGCAACTTAGGAATGCTCCAGCTATCTTGGCATTACCTTGCTGAGCCTCTCGCGAAAAGTGTACGCAAAGATGTAAGAACGGAAGGTCGCAGAGTAACTGATTCTACTGTACACGAAGAGCAGTGTAGCTTCAGGTGAGGTCGAAGCACGTCTAACCAGATTTTCTCCTTAAGCCAGATTGGTGATAAATCGTTGGCGTTCGCTCATCCAGTTAACGTGTATTTTGTTGACCAGGAGGAAGTTTA